CGTTTTCAGTAATAAACCACTGAGTGATTTTTAGAGAGTAACCCTTCAGGGTACTTAAGCCCCTCCACCACGACAAGGTAGTACCCGAGGAGGGGATTATCAACAAGAAACTGTGCAATTACATTATGTGTATATATAGAAAAATGAATATTGAATGAACATAAATTAGTGTTGCTATTTAATGCACGACGTGAGAGAGATTCATCCAATCGAAAGATTAATTCGCCCTCTCGATCTTGGGACAAAATCAATTTTCTCGGAATTTATCAATAATGACTCATAAACTAATAATAATCCGAGATAAGCGATTCTTATCTCGTTAGAAGCGCTGAAATCTTAGCTTTCCAACGAGACCAGGATCATCTTGCTACGATTTTTCTGTGCGGAGATAATGACGATTATATCGACTCGCGATCTCGATCTCGGGACGAAATCAATTTTATTTTTGTAATTAATTAATGAAATCTCGTACACTAATGATACGAGATAAGTGATTCTTATTTCGTTAGAAGCGCTGAAATCTTAGTTTTCCAACGAGACCAGGTTCATCTCGCTACAATTTTTCTGTGCGAAGATATTGACGATTATATCGACTCGTGATCTTAATCTTGAGACAGCAGCAGCAGACGACGCGTATATGCGGCGTCTCGCGCGGCGATGTTTACTACCGAACACCTGGGCCTCGTATGTTTTTATGCCAGTTTTTTGGGGACGTAGTACGCTTGCATAATACTCGCGTAAACACGCGCGGCCTTCGTTCATGAATGGTGCGCGCGCGCCCGATTTTTAAAACGCTATAACTCGGCGAATAATCGACGTAGCGACACGAACCAAAAACCAATCTTCTTCGTTTCGCATCCCGCAGATGTCTACGTTGAATATGTATGCCCTTATCATAAAACTTACACACGCAATGGAATAAAAAGTAAAATTCTGAAATATAAATTATACGTATAACTGCTAAATATTTTTATTTAGTTTTTATTTTTGTCCTTAGTCTTAATTGAAGTTGTACCTTGCCACCGTTTTTCTACAAATAATTATCGCATTATCACCCACAAATACGTAAATGGTTGTGCACGATGTGTAAACGTACGTGAATGTCCACCGTGTATTTCAATCAAGTTTGTGGATTCTAAGCCCAAATGACTATGCAGGGATCAGCCATTCCTGTGGGGGCATAAATTAATCGAGAATTCTGTGATACTGTGGCTATCTAATAATTGAAACGTTGCATATTAATTTAAATCAATATTGATATAGTCACGGAAAGACTTGGCAGCCGACAGAAATAGAAGAGAACTCGTGGTTCTTCAGTTTTACTACAGATGGAACTGTAGTCCTTCATATCTGATTGTGAGAGATACAGATCGAGCATAAATTTCGTGCAAAATATATGTATATGTGAGAGAAAAAGAGAGAGAGAAAGTCGCTGTCCACACTTGAATTTGCTTAAATATCCAAACAGATTTTTTAATTAATTTACAATTAATTTTCTCTCAATAAAAACTTAAAAAAAAGCTTTTACTTTTGATGTATTTTTCATGTTAATATTCTTCTTTCTAGAAAGAGAAAAAGGAAGTTGACTTGACTTTTTGTACATAAAATAAATTTCCTGAAAACTGTCAGATCGGATTTAATTATCAAATATACCCGTAAAGATTCTAAAATCATCTAACTGTTTATAAGACCTCGTTCACCTCGTTCACATGGTTCCTTTTACCTTATTGGTAGCAAAATCGAAAGAAAGCGCGGCAGATTAACAATTAAATCTTCTTTGGATTAAAAACTTAAGAAAAACATCTCTTCGAATGAATATTTGCCAACAATACTAAGTATAAAAAAAATATCCTTGTGTACAAAATGTCCAAACTTCTTTCGGAGAGGAGATATCTGGAGGCGACTGACAATAATCGTCGGTGCCGCGGATCGATCCGCGAATCTCGCGCAGGATCGAGTCGGATTGTAAGTCGCGGAAAGTCATTCGGGGCGAGATATCCGCGGGGCATCCCCCGGATCAACAAGTGTTCTCTCTCTCCCCCGGCGAGCGTGTGCTTCTATTCACGATTATATTGATGTCAGTCGGGGTTGCTGGTGTCGCGCAGGCGCGTATCTTCCCCCGGATCGGGCCGACGACGGGCGGGGGTCGTACGAAATGGTCGATATTTTAGCTATAGCCAAGCGGGTGGTCTACGGTGGCGGTGCGCGAGACGCCTCGACGAGATCGGGCAGTCCAGTTTCCTTATATTCGCTGCTACGAAAACCCCCCCTTGTCGTGTGCCGCGCGCTGGTCAGTGGTGCGAGATATCGCGAGATAGCGCGTTGTTAACTACGAGAGGGAACGTCCCCCCGGTCTGCGCGCTTGGCCGCCCTCCCCGCTGTCATCCCCCTCCTCACGAACCCCCCTCGTGCGTTAAATATTAATCGATCGACAAGCCGAGCGCAGCGCAGCGCGTGGTGCATCCCGTTCGTCGTCGCATCTCACGTCGACAGCCGACGCGCGGGGTTTCCCGACGTCTCGAGGAGCAACGCAGCGAGGAGCGATCCCGTCGTCCGCGAAGGGAGACAGCTTCCTTCCCCCATCTCCAGGGAGTGACTCTTCCAGGTGACACCTCGAGGCCACTCGTGCGAAAGCTCACGGTCATTAGGGAGTCAAGAACTTGGGCGAGATAGGCCTTCCTCGCCAAAGTAAACGCGTCGATAGCTTGCTTATTGATTTCTCTTTATCTCCGTCTCTCTCCTCTACTCTCTCACTCTCCCTTTCTCTCGCTCTCTTGGTCTCTCGTGACCTCTGCCTATCTCCCTGCCACACTTCTGGATAACCCGCCTCGTACTCTCCGCCCTTTCTTCTCCTTCCGCGAGTTTTACGTAAAATGCATACCGTTGCAATGAGTACGTAGATGTCACCATTTATCTACATCTGTCTTCTTCCCTTTCTTCTCTCTCTCTCTCTCTTTCTCTGTCTATATATATTATTTAAGCATATTTGTCGTCAAAGTTTTTATTTTCATGCACCATCAGCCTGTGGAAAGCTTGACCCACTATGCGTGGCGATAAAGTTTCTCTCCCTCGTGCTCTCCCTCTCGCTTTTTGCCAGCCGTAAAAACTGCGGGCATGAATCGCCTTTCATTCACTGGTACTCACTTTCTGCGTTTCATGCGACGCCGTAGAGTCGTCGTGACGTAGGCGACCACGCTCCGGCCACCTCCGATCAATCCCTCGTTCGACCATTTATCCGTTTCGCGTCGTCGCCTCCCGTTAGCCTCGGCACGAGGACTTCGCGGGGAGTCGGCCCGGGGCACGTGAATATCGTCGCGCGACGTTCATCATTAAATATTCAAGTTAACGAAAAGGGACGAGACGAGAGAGCGGGCCGATAAGTTAGAGCTCGCTGTCATCCAGCACCCAGCTGAGTATCGGCCCCCGTCATCGGGCGCGACAGTTGCCGGAGTGATTTTCTCAAATCCTCCCGGAATCCTTTCGAAACCCCTACGCGCACCGGACCGCGACCATTTCACTCTCAGACACGCGGTAAATTCATTAATTAGATTCACGTCTCGATTAAAAATCGACATACGCTGATAAAAATGAATTCAAACACGACTCGACCGTCGCGCGTTCAATCGAGCATTTTATCCTCTTGTGTGACTTTCATTTTCTTGCATAACAAATTATTTTAATCCCGTGCCAATTGGCTCGCCTTCCGATTGTTTCGCGAGCCACCGGACTTTACCATATTGCTAATCTATCGAGGGGAGATCAACCCTAATGATCCCACGGGGCGGGGAGCCGCCGCGACATAGCTGAACCTTTCCAAGGAATTAATTACCCGACGTAGGCGCGCCGGGCGGCTGTTCAAAGACTCTGCTTCTTTACGCTAACGCGCGTGCCTCTGACGTAAACCGAGGCTCCATCTTCCGTCGCCGTTCATTCCACGGATGCACTGAAATCGAAACTATGTAACTACGGACGGGCGGTGCGAGAGCACGAGAGAGCGTGGGCGGGCAGCCGGGCATGACAATCGATTTGCCTCCGAAAATATTTGCTCCCGAGCCGCGCGCTCGGCCGTCTCGCTGTCGGGGAATCAATGGAATCGAGCGCAGGTGTCGCGGATCGGACGATCACGCATCCGTCGCGAGGCGCGACAATGGCGAGCCGACTCGCCTCGAATCGGGAGTCGTTGCGACAATCGCCAGATGAGACTAATTGCAAGAGAAATTCCCTTTCCTCCCCGGGTCCGATTGCAAAAATACCAATTTCGGACTTTACTTCCCCCCGCGTTGTCGCGGCTGTACGTAACGAAATTACTCCTGTAAGATGTAACGCAGGCGCCGTAATCCTCGCGAGATAATGTTAAACGCGGCTTTCATTGAGGAAACTTCAGGCGTAAACGCCAGCCAAAACTGGGCCTCGGTTAACGCGTGGAGAAATCGAACGGCGAAATGTCGAGCGAGGCTACCGGCCAGCGAAATATACCTGTTACCAGCCGCGCGACGCGTTCCTGCAAAATTGAAACCGAAATCGCGATTTCGAGGGGGAAAACGAAGTTTCCGCCAAGAAGAAATGGACTTGTCCCGTCGCCGCGGTCGCACGAGTCGACGTTGTACCATCGATTTCCGTATCTACTTGACCTCCGTAGAACGCGCGTCGCCTCAATCATCATCTGTCCGCCGAGACACGCTCAATTACCTTCCGCCATCCGTCACGGAAATCGTCGTAACACTGTACGACAATGCTCGCAAGTGGCGCGCATACCTGCGCTTTCCTATTTTTTTTTCTCTCTCTCTCTCCGCGAGAACCGACCGTTGTTAACGTTGACATGACATACGGCGCCGATATCGTTATCGCACACGGAAAACCTTGTCCTACTTTGCCTTTAACCGTGCCATGCAATACGTGTGCGAGCGTATGTGTGTACGAGCGCGTGACGCAATCTTCCGGATGAGATTTTATCCTCTCCCTTTTACGCCTCGCGAAATAATTACATGCAGTGCTCCCTGTGTAATTGTCGCGGTCACGTTGTCCTGATCGTATCCGTTTAACGTGTCCGCGACTCCGGGCAGTGACATACACACGTGAAGACACCCGAGCCTGAGAGGACGTGCTAAGCGAGTCCGCGGGTTTGATATGTGATCTGGCCTCGAGTTTTCCTCCTATCGAGAATGCCGGGATATTAATAATGTTTCGGTCATATGTAAGCGAAAATTTCAAGTATCGAATAAAGTTAAATTCGCTGGAGGGAAATGTTTAAGTACAAAACTCGGTAGGTCTAATGAAATAGCATGATCGCTTGAGAGAGAATTTTTCGCAGTTAAATTTTGATGACACTCCGCCCAGGATATTAAAATTAAGAAACCGCGAAAGGAGATGAGAAACTTCTACAGAAACTCTCGAAGGCTAGAGGAAAAAGAAAAGTTGACTTTAAATCCATCATGGATTTTGTCTTCGGGCCATATTCTGTGTTTTCTTTTGTAACGAAATCTCGAGTCTCGCCAAGGAAGATCTTTGCGAGTTTTGTCAACGAAGGAACAAACGGAGTAACAGAATTTCGTTCCTCCACTTTTTGACGTAACTTATACGGAATCGAGCGCGAAATCGATGGGTACCTGCTACCGGATCTAAAAGTTTCCCGGCTCGCCTTCGGTTTTACATTCGTGCAGGCTGGTATTTATAGCTCTCGATCCACCGATTTATTTTCAACCGCAAGTATAGCCGCGTTACTTTTGACGAGTCGGTAATCGATGAGCTGGAAGAAATTTCTTCTTTTGCATTTTATCGCGGTGGTGGTTATTTTCGCGACGAGAAAGAGAGAGAGAGAGGTGCAAACTGCGTCGAAAGGTGATACCTCCGTTAATTACTGTCACGCTGAATAGATTAGATGTCATTCCGTTAAAATGAATTTTCCCTCTTCTTGTAAAGTGCTTCGTCTATTTTCGTCACGCATTATTTGGCTCAAGCAAGTTCCGAGAAACACCGAGTAATATTTTAAGTCGAAATATTGTACCGCGCGTGCGATTAAAGAATTCAAAAATTTATTTTACGCGTGTATTCGTCACTTTGATGTAGAGTATCAACATTTTTGATACTCTTCAACATAAGCGAAGATGATTGCTCTACCCCTAACGTAACGTTTCGATAAGTATGATACGAATATCTTATGGAATCGGATTCTTATCTCAAGAATATTAAATAATTTACAAACTGTTATAAACGACTGTTTTCTTTCCGCATATGTTTCCGGCAAAGTAAATTGGATGTCGATACAATAAATTTTCATTTTAATTCCCACTGTAATTAGGAAAATACGAACAAAAAATTTATTTTACGCGTATATTCGTCACTTTTACGTAGAGTATCAAAATTTTCGAAACTCTTCAACGTAAGCGAAAATGATTTAATTCCAGCGTAATTAGGAAAATATCATGCAGAGTTATACTTAACGTATGACGAAACGTGTGTAAGAAAATAGCACGAGTTTTCCCATGTAAAAATTCTTGAAAAGGAAACTGGGGCCCGATTCTTCAGTTCATTCGAAGAAGAAACGTATATGAAAATTCTGCTCTGACAGAAAAGTTGCAAGTCGATTGGCCATTCGCATAGCTTTTAGCCAATGGATACGCAACTTTTCTGTAAGAGCAGAATTTTCGCATACGTTTCTCCTTCGAGCAAATTCAAGAATCAAGCCTCTGATTCGTTAACGCCGAGGAACCAAACTAAGGCGGCGCGAACGCGATCGTCCGCACCTGTGCCAACCGCAGACTATCGCTCGTGGCAGGTCCGATTATCGTCGCCGACACGTCGTGCGTGCGGAAGTAATACGGTGGGACAAGAAACGGAGAAAAGAACCGCGAACCGCCACGTCGTTGTTCGCTCGGGCCAGTCTCGCCACTCGTGCCGAGCCGAATAATTTCGCATTAACGCGACGCCGTTTGCCGCGGACGCGGACGGAGTGCGTAATTCCTTTAATCATTCAGTCCCCCCCGGATTCTCCTCGGTTAATTAAATAGAGGCTCGTAGAGCGAGCGGAGGAACGGTACATTGCGCCGCGCCGAAGAAATAGTGAACTGAAAAAGTGGCCGACGATAATCGACAATAATTGTACCGCCATAGACGTCTGTTGACACGAAGGAAGATTAAAACAAAAGCGGAGTGTCGAGCATTATTTAACAACTCTACCGAGATAAACGCTTGAAACAATTACTTGAATAAGATTAGAGAAAGACGAGCGGTTGATGAGTTTTGGCTAACGAAATGAGAGGCGGTTGATAAAACGGTAAATGAATTACGGACAACGGAATGAGATCAGAGATGAGCGAGATAAAACGGTTAATGAGCCGCAATTCATAAAAACTACGGTGGTGACGCGATTAGTGAGATCGATCGCGAGAATGTGATCGAAGGCTGCAGTAAAGAAGAAATGTGACGGGGCACAAAGAGATCGATCGGGTGTCGCATTAATGTGACGTTTGAGATGTCGAGGAGGTGCGGGAATGCGTCCTACACGCCGGTTAAGGATTCCGTTTTCGAGCTACGCACGCGGACGGCCCGGTTGCTGTCCATCGTCGACATTACCTCGCAGAGGATTAATCCGGTATCGGAATATCGACTCGATATCAGTAGCCGTTAGCACGAGTGTTGTTTCGTCGAGCGAAGGGAGAGCTAACTAACTAACGAAGAGAAAATACGCGAGGAAACTCAATGGGCTCCAATTAAGATTCACGCGCGCAATAATATTGACGATTTATAAGTTCCCCGATCGAGTGATGTAATTGAATGAATAATTACGCGATAGCGCAAAAACAGTTATGCTGACAAAATTTATTTTTTATTTGCATCTTCGTCAAAAACTTTATCGTGCTTTTGTAACGTTAAGAATATGATATTTTGGCGTTGAAGGCAAAGACTTTAGAAAAGACAAGAATAAACTCTTTAGAAATGGCTTCGAGTGCCAAGGGCATTTTGCATTTAAAGTCTGAAATGATCGATTTATGACTCGGCGATACCAAAAAAAAGAGTGCATATCGCAACCACTTTTTTGGGCGTTTTCAGTTACATACAGTTTTCAATCCTGCTTTGATGCAAACGCGATCTAAAAAAAGTATTGTAACTCGAATCCATGCAGTTTGGTATTTATTTCACGTTTCGTTACTGCTGTAACTGACAAAAGAGAATCTTTCAAGAAGTAAAACAACTGTTCGACAAACAACAATTCCGCCGAAAAGTTGCAGTTTTGAAGCGGCAGCGCTTTTTATTGGTGCCGTTCAATTGATTCCAAAACTGACTCCGCGAGATACCGAGCGAAGCTCAGTTTCCCTCGTGTGGCTTTACGTGCCTCCGACTTTTCGATATTTTTATCCAACGTTTTCATGAACGTGACCAAACGACCCGATAAACCGTGACGAATTTCGCATCACTAGTAAGCTCATCTATCGCATCGAACACCTTCCTCTTGTCCATCTCGTCCCGTGTCGAGCAACGGGCAGTTTAACGACGTGCACATGCAAAGCTAATCGCAATATACAAGCCTCGTATATATCTTTCTCCTAAATCGCCGATCTATAAATAAGTATCACGAAACATGAAAAAGTATAACCCATTGCTTCCGTAATTTCTATAATTATTAATCTAACTCGTCGGAAAAAAAAAATCCTAATTTAGTTCTAACATTTACTTTTGATCTCGCGATCGAGTCATTTCTTGAATTTCACATTTCCAAGAGACAGTTTGTCTTAGAAATGTTAAATTCAAGAAATAATCGGAGACCGTTTCATTTATATAATTTCCTCAATTTTTAAATATATAAGTCCGAAAATATTAAAATGATCCGAGTTCATAAATTAAGCTAATACGATCCCTTCGCAGATGGCGCGTCAGGATGGCAGAGATGCCGCGGATCAAAACTTCGACTACATGTTCAAGTTGCTGATAATCGGCAACTCGTCCGTCGGCAAGACCTCCTTCCTCTTTCGCTACGCGGACGATTCCTTTACCTCGGCTTTCGTGTCAACCGTAGGAATCGACTTTAAGGTGAAGACCGTCTTCAGACACGACAAAAGGGTCAAGCTACAAATCTGGGTCAGTATAGTCGACGTGTTATGCACGTGTAATATAATTTCCTGGCGAAAAACAGCCGTTACGCGTTGTAATATTAACATACACTCTACGAAACTCATATACATACATATTAAAGTAATAATTTAAAATAGGCCATATAACGAATACGCCGTTTTGAATTACTTATTAACTGATATTTTAACAAACTGTACTTGTACAGCGCGCAGTTGAAAAACTCGTGTTAAATTTAACAGATATCGCATATCCCAAACGGTCTACACGAACTTTTGTGTCAATACTCTGTTAATATTTTGACACCAAATAAATGCGAATCTTAAAATAATTTCAAATAAATTTTCTGTAAAATTAACATATATTTAATGACAAAATGAACTGTTGAAATTGTAATTTTTACATTTTACAGATGTAATAAGTCAAATGACGATTCGAAATCACTCTCACTTATGTTATATGTATAGAATAAAAGCGACATTTTATTCTGTAAAGACAAATTTTGTTACTAATAACATAGAACATATGTATTGTGTAAGATTTAAAGATAAGTACACGTTGTGTTGTTTTAACATTTCTCTTCAGTTGTTTTAATAATTTTCCATTTGAGGTCAATTAACACATGAACGTGTTAAACGTTTAACACAAAAATTTTAACCAGCATTGTTTTTTAACAAGAAAACACGAATTTTCCAACTGCGTACTTTCAGAAATGTCGCGTTGCACGCAACGTTCCATGTATCACACTATTTACAACGTAGTTGTAATTTTTGGTAATTATTGCCATCCTTACAGGATACGGCAGGTCAGGAAAGATACAGAACGATCACGACGGCCTACTACAGAGGCGCGATGGGTTTCATTCTAATGTACGACATCACAAACGAGGAATCCTTCAATTCAGTCCAGGATTGGATCACACAAATAAAAAACTACTCGTGGGACAACGCCCAAGTAATTCTCGTGGGCAACAAGTGCGATATGGAAGAGGAGAGAGTGATCAGTACCGAGAGAGGTAAACAGTTGGCGGAGCAATTAGGAGTTCGATTCTTCGAGACATCGGCTAAAGAGAACATCAATGTCAAGGTACGTGTCATATTTGGAAACTGATCAGCTGTTTGACAAATAAACAGCGCAAACCTCATTTTTCTAAAAATACTGACGAATATTTGTTTACACGAAAAATAGAAAAGATACTTTCCTGTTGCTTTTCAACTTGTATAAAATAATATAAGTAACCGTAGCTATTAGCAATTAATAATTGTTTCGCCAGCATAATCTAATCAACAACTTGAACGTTCATGATATATTATTTAAAAAGTAGCACAGTGGCTGCGGTAGTTTTACTTCAAAGTATTAATTTCCTTCGAAGCGGAATCTTTGTCAAGAAAGTTTGTTAAAAGAGAAACGTAATTCCCCAGGTATTTCGTCTGCACAATTTTGTGTGTCTATACGCAATTAAAGTTAAAACTCGTATGGCCTCATTTTCAATCTCCGACACGTTTCCAATCTCGCTCTATTGTGTCTCGGAGTAGAACGCGAATGCGAGGCATATCGATCCCGCCTATCGCGAGGTCACGTAGATGATCGATTCTCTTTCTCTCGTTTCGGCAGGCGGTGTTCGAGCAGCTGGTGGACATAATATGCGACAAGATGAGCGAATCTCTGGACAATGATCCGACCCTGATGGGGGCGGGCGGTATGGGTCAGACCAAGGGCCAACGACTCACCGATCAGCCGACCAATCCAGCGAACACTAACTGTAATTGCTAAAAAAAATGCGTCGACACACAGAAGAGGAGGGGGGAGAAAAACGAGAGATCGTATTTTGTGCGTGTGTCTGCGCGCATGTGTGCACGTGTGTGTTACGTGTGTTAGAAAAAGAGAGAAAGAAGGAGAGAAAGAGAGAGAAAGAAAGGGAGGAGGAGGAGGAAGTGTCGTGTGCGACGCTGGTGTGTTAACTAGTCCACTTACTTCGTCGTTCCCTCTCGTTATATTTATTTCAAAATTCACCTTTCGTTTCTTTTCACTCTTTCTCGGCGCGAGATGATATATATGACTAATGTACGCTATAAATATATATATATATATATATATACATAATGATTGTGATCATCGAGGTGCGACCGAGTTAGCCAACGACTGTCCAGTGAACGGTCGTAGTTTTCCTTTCAGTTCCTTTACTTGACGAGAGTCCAAGATGGACTCAAAACAATTTCGAAAGTTCAAATTTCTATGTTGCAGATACGGCACATCAGAGGGGGAAAAAAACGCGCCAAACGTCGCGTTTTCATTATCAGAAGTAAATGTCAATTATAATTGTCATATAAATTCACGCTGTGAGAAAGAAACATTAGTTAAACTCAACGGAGATTTTTCGTCAACTCTTTACTTCCCTCAGGGAAACCAGAAGGGGCAAAAGATTGAGCTAGCGTCTATCGTTTGGATAAAAACGACTTTGGAGCAAGAAAAGAAAGTTTTTCGCAAAAGCATCTAATTCAATCGTACTTTTCGCGGTAATTTTTCTATCGACCGGGAAAATCGTGCATCTCACATTATGCCAAAATAATTGTTTGCCGGCTATTTGTACATAAAGATCAGGCTCACGTATCTGCGACATCGAGATTTGAAATCCAAGGGAATGATGCTTGTTTCGGTTTCCGTTGACGAAAGGGAGATTAAGTAGATAGCAAGGGGAAAGGGATTGGACGAAGGTGCATTTTGTTTTGTGGTTGATAATGATTAATGACGACGATCGTTATAGCAGGGACGATGTTGCTCACTCGATGTTTGGCACCGTAGACTCACGCAAAAGGAAGCGATTCCATGTCTCAAGTCCACGCATTAAGTAAGATACGCCCAGGAAAATCTGACAATAAGCGTCAATCACCCGGCAAAACTCGACGAGTTGAAAATGCCGACCAATCGGAGACGTAACAGAGTCGAATTAACCCTTTAGCTCCTCCTGTCTTATTTGACGCGGGCAACGCAGACAACGTACGCGCAAAGTTCACGTTTCAATGTCGCTTCGAAGTTGCAATTGTAAGCTGTTTAGAAAGACGTATTATTCAAGAGAGTATTTATATTTAAATATTGTCAGATATATTTAATATTTAGCGATATTCTATAACAATTAGTGACATTTGCGGCAATAAAGGGTTCAGCGACGAACGTTTAAATGTTCACGGAGACCAAAGGAGTCAAAGGGTTAAATACAGAAGCGAGGTACGCGTGAGCACGGTTTAGTTTACGTTTACGTTAAAAGTCTCGTTATAATTGGAGCGGCGAGTTAAATAAGTCTGACGATCGATAATATAATCGGATACTATAAACTGAAAAATTGTTCAAACATTGAAAATAAAAATTTCAAAGTAACGTGCCCATTTGTAAAAATTAACGCGCCCTTAGAGCGAAATGTCGCCCACATCCGATTATTTTGGCGCACACGGGGCGTCTTGTTTTAATCAATAGTATTCGATTATTCACGCGCAATCGGTGACTCACTGACATGACACTCGGTGTGTACCTAACTGTCGTATTTAGATAGAAAGGGTCTCGATGATGACGACGGCGACACGCGATGCCGATCGTATGCACAATTGATTTTCGCTCATGAAAATTCAAGCATGTGAATCCAACGACCCCAAACTGCGTTTCCTTTTTCTTTCGTTTGCGACTCAAGTACATCGTCGCGGACGTTTTAGCATCCTACTCAGATTGATTGCAATATAACATTATTTCTTGGTAACGTCACAAAGCTAGTTTGATCGCACTGTCAGTACTTGCGATTGTATCGTTATTTAATTTCCCATTACTCTTGGCGATTTGTGTAAGTTCATTTGCGTTTCGTTCAGAACGAAAACGAATCTTTGTTGTAATAATATCAAGGCACATTGAGCGACGAACTGTATTGCAATGGGAACTCAATTTTTGTGACGCCTGCTGTGTGTAACCAATTGCCCGCACGATTATCTATTAACCGACTCCCAGCACGACAAGGTTGGGGAGGGAAAGGGAGGAGGGAACATCGTCACCGGTAAAATGTTAGATCCCTGAGTTTTTCAAGAGACACCGTCGGCGCGGAGTACCGTGTAACGTTTAATCAGTCAGCCACTCCATATTGTATCGACCCTAATGGCACTCTCCGCGAAAATGATTTAAGGTAGGAGGCACTAGCGAGCATTATTATCGGGATCGACGAAGGCCGAGATCATAACAGGGCCGGATACAAATTCAGGTGTATTGTAAATCATTCAGAGGAACCAGCGGCATCGATCTGGCGTCAATTATCGAGGAGTGCCGGCGTCCCGCTTACTACTTCAGTCGTCATCCGGCGTTAAACGTACTAGGTAAGCTGCCCTCTGTACATAAGTGAGATAATAAAGACAAAAAGGTATCTCTATCATGTATCATTGAATCTGTAATGAGGTGTAACGTACGCGTTAAGTTAGCCGCGCGGGTTCTCCGCGGGTGGCACGTCGGAGATGACGCGGCCCGCGACACCGAGTGCACCGATCAATGGCGTAATTAATCGATCGCGAATTAGCGAACCGTCGAGCAACGAATGCGTGTCCTCGTGGCTACCGAGAGTGAGAGAAAGACGGGAAGGGAGGAGAGGCTGCGTGTGTGGAAAAGCGCGCGGAGTGTCACGCAGAACATTGAGAGGGGTTTAATTTCGACGAGTTCCATTTTTTCTGCTGCATTGATCGCGGAAAGATTTCACGCCGATTGTCGCGCTTCCGCTCACGGATAAGCGGAGATCGGTTCCCACGTCTATTTTTCACGACGCGGCATTAAAACCCGAACTCGTTGAAGTTACACGGGACTTCGGAGTCCCCGTCTTCTTCAATTAGGTCTCTCTCCTTTTTCTATACTTTCGCCACTTGGTGCGAGACAAAGTAGGAGGGAAAGTGAGAGCACGAGACAAGATTTCCTCCTTTCGAAAAATATATACAATTTTTTTACGCGCTATATCTAATTTATAGTACTAGAATTTCAAGTGCAAACGTAACGCGAGTACGTTGTTGGTGATTCGGCGCGGACACATTTGCGAGACGAGGCGAGTCGATTTCCCAAAATGCTCAAATCGCGACAACCGGAAGGATGTCTCGTGCCCCGACTTTCCTCGCTTTGTGTGCACATTTCTGGCGAGAGAATCGGAAGAAGAGACGCAAAAGTGTAGAGAGCGCGGGCAAAGAGGACCGACCTATCGATGTAACCCAAAAATGCTAATCAATAAAATGGCAAGAAATTTTCCCGGCTGTCGCGGGCGTCTGTATGTATGTATCGTACGGTGCGTAAACTGTACTATATATATACGCCTAATATTAATAATAACTACGTTAATGATAAAACAATAATCTACCAATACACTGCACACACACGCGCGCGCGCACGCACGCGCACACACATACATACGTTGAGAAGACGAAGCATCAGGTCGCAGGTGTCACGTTGAGAGAAATCATTTGTATAACAGAACAGTTGTACTCTAAGTGAGCTGTATAATTGTAGCAAAAGTCAATCATGAATGTTCTCAACGACTGCTACGTCGTATATGTTACTTGTACGTGTATATGTGCACAATCCGTTAACGATGCAGATCCCGAGAGAAAGAGAGGGAGAGAGAGAGAGAGAGAGCGCGCGCGAGAAAGAGAGAATGAGAATGAAAGGGAGAGTGAGAGAGAATGAGAGAATGTAACACGGGAAATACTTTGAAAAACCGGACGTAGCAACAAATGTAAACGATATATACATATATACATATATATATATTTAAAACAAAGAAATACGGAGAGAGCTAATTGTGAATCGCGTGTATTGCGTATGCGCTGTGTACGCGCGCAGTGCAAGCACGCGAGAGAAATCGGCGAGACGGAAAAAAAAGGAAGGGAAGAAATGAGCAGTGGAGTAAATCTATAATTTGCAACACGTGTACAAATCATTGACAAACAATTCGGAGGACCAATCGGTAGGTAGTTGGCGGTCGCGCTTATCGCGATCTCGCCCAACAGGGATACCCGCTTAGTCTTCGCCCCCGGTTTCGCCGTTGCCGTGGTCGCCCTGCAGAAAAATTGGCGGAGGATTCGATTGAAAAGACTTACAATTAGTAAAACGGAAATAATTTCGCCAACTTCTGACGTCGCGACTGTCAGTCGTCCTTTCTGCTATAAAATTCGAGTTTCTCCGCTTCTGCAAAAAATTAATTTCCGATAAATCGAAGACGGAAAATCGGGAAAATGAGGTCCCATTGATTCCCGTTGACTCGTCTATTTTCTGCAGAGCGTCCCCGCGCGTCTTCGTATCAGCCACTGAATCCTCCGGTGAATACTTTCTCGCGGAAGTACGTGTGGTAACGTACGCGATACCGTCGCTCGCGTCGCGAAAGAATCATCGGGTGTCTCTCGCCGAGCGCGACGAGGAGCCCGCGAAGCTCATCTTTTCCGCGATGAAACGTCAAGGAGGTGACAGCGCCATCGATTCTTTGCGCCACGTGCGAGCTTACGACTACACACCTGCCTTGCATAGTGCATATCGTGACAAGTTTGCGGTCTCACCGTCGCGTCGCTCCAATTGTCTAGAGATCCTGCAATCAGAGACCGGCCATAAGAGTTCGTCGGAGTTTGGCGAACTCTTACTGGGTCCAGTCTCTGATTGCAGGGTCTCTAGATTTGTCGTGACGGAGAATCGCCTCCCCTTTGAAATTGGCGCGATATCGACGGAGCTTCATTGTACGCCAGTGTATCAAGCCATCGATCGTAATAGACAGGGAGCTTAATTGTATAGAGACAAATACAGTCAGCGATCGATTTTCTCCACGGGAGTAACGTTGTGCACGCTTCTTGCGTTTCTTTCTCCGGCGAACCTGCTCGAACGAGCGCCCCTTCGATAGACGGAAGGTAAGAATAACGCGAGAAACGGAGACACTTAGAGGCTGCTGCAGTGTCTAAGTAAAGAATTCTATGGAATATCGATGTACACGAAGAGACGTTTACGGTATTTACGTTCATTAAAGCGACCGCTATTTCGATTATACTCAACAAATTCCGCCGATAAAGCATCATTATTTAAATAACCATTCAGCACGAAGACCTAAGGGGATTTTAAGTCGCCTTCGTTTCTTTCCGCGCTCAGCGTGGAAATAGAAGCGCGTCATTGAAAGTGCGCGCATTGCCCTCTAAAATTACGTGCGAATATAAAATTAGCGCTCGGAATCCGACAGTCCGTGGTAATTGCATCCAATCTAGCGAGACTACCTATATATCTCGGCGTTGAACACGCGTCTTGCAAGATCAGCAAGAAGCAAAGAGGTAATCACATCGGACGGAGGAGAGAGAGGTTCGCCACTCGCCCAGTTGCGCTATTTTCTGCCTCATTAACGATATTTCTGAATAATAATAATGAATTACTCGGCGAGAGGAATAACAATTCGATACTATCGCTGTCATTTGATCGTTTATACACACGTGACAAATATCGTAAGTAAAATTGTACAAGTATGCGATTCGTCGCATACAAAATTCACGCGATTCACTGCTTTGACGCACATGGACGTATCAATTTTCACATCGATTGGCCGTTATTTTGCTATACCGAGTAAAATTTCAAAATAATTAAAAGGTTAATCATCGCCGCCAACAAAATGCAAAATGCTACTACGATCCCATTAATGTAAAACCTGTAATCTACAATTAACCGGTTAAACTAATCCCATTCTTCTTTCATGTATGTAAATTTTTCCGCGATCGCCGTTTTGTAGCGAACATGATAAAATCGATAAATCGAGAGACTCTAAAATTTATATATACTCGAAGTGCACACAATCGTGGATACACGTTCGAGCGAATTTATGAGCGATGCAAATGTGGCCGTAAGTAAATTCGACAGGAAGAAAAACCTCCTGGAAATTGGCAATCGTCCATGCAGATAAAATTTCGACGGCCGTCATCATAGATAAACATTCGTCACGTTGCAACGGCAGATACAGCGAACAACAAAGACAGATTAATTTGCGTGAGGAGAAAATTATTTTAAAATTTGGGGAAAAAATTAAAAACAAAATCCCTTATCGAAAATTCGTCTATGAATTATTTTTCTATCTAAAATTTATGCGCACTGTAATACGTTACGTGTGACACATTTATCTGTATCAATTTGCAAGAGCTTAATCGGATCAGTTAATATTTAAAAGCTCGGGTCGCGCGTATCTCTTGTAAATTATATTCGCGGAATAGCCGTTCGTTAAACCGTGTATAAGAATTAAATGAAGTGCACCGAAGTAAATCGAGCTTTAAGGGCGAATAAAGGTAAATAAGAGAGTTGTTAGCCTCTGGCCTTGGACGTCCAAAATCGTGGTGACGTCGCCGTAAATAGATTTCTTGGCATCAGGCTGACGATGCGGAAAGCTTGATCCTCACTCGCGGGTCCAGGAAAAATCTGGCGCTCGCAACGTCTTATAAGTTCGCGGGGCCGAGTCAGCGGGAACGGTTCTA